CAGCCGCTGCGGCACCAGGTGTCCGGAGCGTTTCCTCTGGGATAGGACAACCCTTGGGTCAGTTTGTCAGAGCCACCGAGGAAATTCGGAAAGGATGGGGCCGCTGGTAGAAATGCGACGCGGGGCTGTGCCAGTCCCCCCGTGCCAGGCTTGCGCTCCCTGGGCTGTGGTGACATGACACGGGGTCCTTTGGGGACACATCCCAGCTCCTGTGAACCCCCTGGCTGAGCCCACACCCTGCGGTGGAGACATGGAGGTGCCTCGAGCGTCTTAATTACTGTCATTAAACTGGGAATTAGAGCCCAGCCCAGGGGCTCGTTTAGATTTTAACTGGTTTTATTGTTTCCTGGCCAGGAGGGTGGAAGGGAGCCAAGGGCTGGTCCCGGTGACATCTCTGGAGGCTGGGGGGGCCATGGGGGTGGTCTCCTTCCCGACGTCCGTGTGTCTGTCCGCAGGGAAGTCCCACCTGGCCATCGTGCAGAAGGTGAACAACGAGGGCGAGGGAGATCCCTTCTACGAGGTGCTGGGGCTGGTGACGCTGGAGGATGTCATCGAGGAGATCATCAAGTCGGAGATCCTGGACGAGTCCGATCTGTTCAGTAAGTTTTGGGCTTGATCCTTCTCCCTCTCCTCGTCGCATGCCGGGGTCCCAGCAGCCCCCACCGACACCCCCTTTTCCCCCTGCAGCCGACAACCGCAACAGGAAGCAGGTGGGCAACCAGAAGAACAAGAGGGACTTCTCGGCCTTCAAGGACCCTGTCAACGAGCAGAAGGTGAAGGTGTCCCCGCAGCTGCTGCTGGCCGCTCACCGCTTCCTCTCCACAGGTGAGCTGCTGGATTTTTTCAGGTGGGGGGGGGGTTGGGGGGAGCTCAGGGCAGCCCTCGGCTCAGCCCTCGGTGTGCTGCCGATCCCTGGCAGCCCCATGGGCTCCATTCCCGTCCCCCCCACCCAGGAAGAGGCACTCCCACCATCCTGTTCAGAAATTGTGGAGTGTCTCGTCCCACTTTCCTCACCTCTGTCCCCCCCCCATAAAATGAGAAGGGACGGGGCTCGGGGATGCCAGCCCTGCCTCTGACGCTCAGCAGGTCCCTTGTCCCCCCAGGATGTTCCTCTGCCCCAGCTGGCACGTGTCTCCCCAGTGCTGGGACTGGCCTTGCTGGGGACCTGGAGCTGGTTTTGGGGGAAGCTTCTGCCCCAGAGGGGGTCAGTGGTGCCCAGCCTGAGCCGGACACCACCCCGAGGGATGGGGGGACGGGAGAAGGACAAGGACCGCAGCCCTGAACCCC